TTATTATTCATTTTAATGAAAATTTACAGACTTTGGATTTCCATTCATTCATTGTTACACTTTTCCCCCTGCCCACCCCTCCCCCCGAGTTTGCTCTTCTCTTTGAAAAGTAAAAGAAAAATTCATCCACTGGTATACAACCCTTCCTCCAGGTCCACTCCACTATGCAGCCTTCGTTCTGGACTCCTCTCATGACAATAATACCTAATCACATATCCTTTTTAAACAGTTCTCTCTCATCTGTTTCAATGCAGTATACATTATTGAACCCACCTTTCTCAGTCTCCCCCCAACTCCGATGTCAGTCCTGTTTTACAACAGTGGCACCATGCAGTATTTGTCCTTTAGTGACTGACATATGTCACTCCGCATAATATCCTCCAGGATCACCCATTTTGTATAATATTGCATGAGTTCTTTGTTTTCCAATGCTACATAGTATTCCACTGTGTGAGTATACCACAGCTTTTCTATCCATTCGTTTGTTGATGATAAAAGCCTGGGTTTTCATTCATTCATCGTTGCATGTTTTCTTCCCTTTCCCTCCTTTCCTCTCACCAGCCCACTCTGCAATGTACCTCCTATTCTAGATTGTACATGTAATAACTAACTGTACATTTCTTTAAACAGTTCTTCTCCTCCTCCGTTCCAATGTTCATAATTGATCCACTCTTTTCCTATCCTCTCCCCAACCCCCCCGTGTCAGTCCTATTTTATAACACCAGTGTTACAGTATTTTTGTCCTTTTGTGACTGAGATATTAGACTCATCATGCTGTCTTCCAGGCTCACCCACGCTGTGTGGTGTTTTACAAGTTTGTTCTTTCCCAACGCTGCGGAATCATCCATTACGCGAATGGGTCACAGTTTTTCTATCCATTCGCTTGTTGATGGTGCGTGAGCTGCTTCCAACTCTTTGCTATTTGAACAATGCAGCCATAAACATGGGTGTCTAGACTTCGACTGTTAAGATGGTTTGTTGTTTTTTTTTTAAGATGGTTTTATGACATGTAACAGAACCCTGACCACTGAGGAACTTTACAGCCTCCCATAAGGAAACGTCGCTTCCTGGAACACTAGGGAAGTAGACAATGCTTAGAAAAGAATTAAAGGACTGGTAGAACCACTCTGGAAGGTTGTATGGCGCTTTCTCAAAAAGTTGCAAATAGAAATACCATTTGACCCAGCAATTCCACTATTGGGAATATACCCCAAAGAGACCACAACTGACATCCAAGCAGATATACGCACACCCATGTTTATCGCGGCTTTGTTCACAACAGCAAAGAGTTGGAAACAACCTAAGCGTCCATCAACAAATGAATGGATAGAGAAGCTGTGATATATTCACACAATGGAATACTATGCAGCATTGAAAAACAAGGAACTCATGCAATAGTATACAATATGTGTGAACCTGGTGGACATTATGCTGAGTGAAATATCTCAGTCGCAAAAGGAAAAATACTGTATAATTCCAGTGTTATAAAACAGAACTGACTGGGAGTTGGAGGAAAACTAAGAGGGGATAAATAATGTACAAGGCATTGAAACAGGAGAGGGAGAGAACTGTTTAAAAGGAATATATGATTAGGTATTTAAACAAACATAGAGAGAGTTCTGTTGACCTAGTGGACAAAAAGTTATGCTACCAATCCCAAAGTGGGTAATTTTAATCTGCGGCCCTCAAGCCTGATTTAAATTGTTTTCTGTCAAAAAAAAAAAAATTGAATTCTGTCAAACATTCTTCTAGGTGGTATAGCCCTGGTCTGTGTATTGCTGTACAGAGGTCACTTGTGGTTGCTGTGATGCTGAACACTGTGACACTGATGTGCCAAACATAATCATAGTTACCCAGGGTGGACAGTGTTTGCTGAAGCTCCCTGATGAAAACAAACTTGGAAGCAGGGGTGGCATCCACTTCTGAAATAGCTTGTCTCCAGAAACTCTATGAACTTGGAGAAATAATGAAAGTTATACAAGTGTTCAGATCTTTTGTTCACAGGGTCCCTTTGAGTCGTCCAGGACTTGACAGCACTTAACAACAACAATTATTCGCATGACAAGAGTC